AATGTAAAGATAGAACTAATTTCAAGCAAAAAAACAACCAAAACAAAACACTACGAAAGAGAGCCAAACACAAATTTTATTTTTTTATTATTATTCTTTTTTTTTTGCAGTACGCGGGCCTCTCACTGCTGTGGCCTCTCCCGTTGCGGAGCACAGGCTCCGGACGCACAGGCTCAGCGGCCATGGCTCACGGGCCCAGCCACTCCGTGGCATGTGGGATCTTCCCGGACCTGGGCACGAACCCGTGTCCCCTGCATCGGCAGGCGGACTCTTATTTTTTTATTTTTTATTAATTTGTATTGGAGTATAGTTGCTTTACAATGTTGTGTTAGTTTCTACTATACCACAAAGTGAATCAGCTATACGTATACATATATCCCCTCTTTTTTGGATTTCCTTCCCACATAGGTCACCACAGAGCATTGAGTGGAGTTCCCTGTGCTATACAGTAGGCTCTCATTAGTTATCTATTTTATATATAGTGTCAATAGTGTATATATGTCGATCCCAATCTCCCAGTTCATCCCAACCTGCTTTCCCCATTGGTATACATACACCAAATGCAAATTTTAGACCTGAAATATATATCTGAAACAGAAAAGTATTATAATTGACATTTATAAATTAAAAAAATTCAAGTTCAGAGAGATTAAGTAATCTTCCTGATGTCATACTAACAAGTGATAGAATTAGAATTTGAATCCCAAAGTCTATTTGGCTTTAAGGACTTTATTTTCTCAACTCACTAGGAAGGACTTAGAGATCAGTGGGAGTCTGTGGGAAACTGGAAGTGGATTGTGAACTTTTCTGAAACTCTGGTGAGACTAGGGAACCTTGCTGTAAGGCTTTGCTGTGGTCCCTGGGAGCAACCAATGGGATTATCTATCCATGGTGCTGCAATGTGCCCACCCAAAACTCCATGTCTACCTACCAAGCCATTTCTGATTATTTGCACCAAGGAGTGGAAAGAGAAGTGAAGATAAACCATAGCAGCTCATGCTTTAGAATCTATCCATTTTGTCTTTCAAGTCTAATGCAATACACTGCCCCATCCATCGCTCTCCTTGGGTTTTGCCCATGTTCTGCATGAGTTTTTTTCCATGTTTTGCAAAAATCTTTTCCTCAGAGGTTGTGGGTAGAGAGCAGGGGCGGGGGTCTTCATGTATTTGCACCACCTTCCTATAGCTAAGTTCTACTTAAATTCAACTCTTGTTTGGTGAGTTTAGTGATGTATCTAATGCTGTGCATGGTGCTGTGGAAGGCAGAGGAAGATGGGATCCACACGTGCTCTTCAGGAGCGCCCACTTGCAAATGAGCACAAAGAAGGAGGAGGAGGAGGTCAGCTGCGTGGGCTCAGTTTCTACTGTGTGTCCTCAAAAGACCTACCTTGGGGCTTCGGAGGAGGGTGGATGTCACTGTGAGTTGGGAGCGATCACAAAAGACTTTCTATAAGAGGTAGGATATCACCTAGTCTATAAAGGCTAGGCTCAGGAGAGCAAGGAAAAGGATAATTCTAGGACACAGTAGGTGCTTAATAGATATTTTTTAAATGAGGGGATGTGTTCACAATCCTTTTCTTCCTGGCTATTTTTAAGCATCTGCTTTCAAAAATGACTGTTTAAAATATTAAAAACAGTCTATTTTAACACTATCTGTAATAGCTCCAAACTGGAAACTACCCAAATGCCCAGCAACAGTGGAATGAATAAATAAATTAAGATGTGTTTGTACAAGGGAATACCACATACCAATGAGAAGGGGCACTCGAGAATGACATGAAACATTATGGATGAATCAGATGAATCTCAGAAGCACAATGTTGTCCAAAAGAAGGCATGCACCAAAGAGGACCTATTATAGGATTCCGTTCATATAAAGGACAAAAAGAGGCAAAGCTCATCTGTGGCGCTGAAGTCGGCGTGGGGAATTGGTGGCAGTGACGCCAGGTGGGGGAAGGAGAAGGGGAGAGTCTCGGGGACGGGGGAGGTTCTGGTTTTTGATCTGGATACTGATTACATGGACAGTTCAGCTTTTGAACATTTTGTTGGGCTGCCTGCTTATGATAAGTGCATTTTTCTGTAAGTATATTGTATTTCAACAAAAAGTTAACAGAAACAGGGTATGTTCCCCGACTTGACTTCCTAGATCCTGTGCTCTTTTGCCCTTTCTCATTGATATCAGGTGGCATGACCCCCGATGGTGATTTCCAAAGAATGGCACGTGTTGCTCTAGGAATCACCTTTCCTAAGACCAGGAGAGAAAAGGCAGAGCTCCCATTTCAATGATTGGGAAACTGAGGCCTGTAGATGGGAAGTAACTTGTCCTTTTGTCATACAGCGAGTCAAGGAAAGAAAGAACTTCTGTCTTTAGGGAATCTCTTTTCTGTGGCCCGGATAATAGATACCTGCCTAGCCTGATCCACCTAAAGAGACAAAGGATGTCACAGGAAGTCAGAATGATGGTTGGGAATTGCCTGGAGGAGTTCAGAGGGCTTTGGAGCCCCTGGCCACACTGCCAGGTCCATGTAAAACAGCATCTGGAGGGTCCCGGGCCTGCCACCTGCTTTTGTGAGATTTGAGTGAGTCAGTTCCTCTTCTTGGACCTGTGACCTCAACTGTAAGATCAGAGATCGAACTTGATGACAGTTCTAGTTTTTCAAGGTCTAGATCTGAACTAGGGTCATCCAAGTTTGATTAGGCATAGTCTCTACTGTTCTCCACCCTCAGGGTCTGTGCTGGGTCAGGATTAAAAAAGGAAGTCCTTAGGACATTTAAAACGCATTCATTCTTTCATTCATTCAGTGTCCATTCCTTTATTGAGCATCTGCTCTACGCTAGGTACTGTGCTGGGGACACAAAGATGAATGACAATGTCACTGTCCTAGAGGAACTGACTTTCTGGGGGAAGAGATATAGTAAATGGTTGTAAAAAGTGTGACGAGTATTGCACGTATAGGTAAGTATTGAATGCTACGGACACACAGAAGAAGACGCAGTTCCTGCTTTGGGGGTGAGGTTAGGCCAGGAAAGGCTTTTAAGAAGAGGTGATATTTGAGCTGGACCTGGAAAAAAGGAGCAGGTCAGACTGGGGAAACTGGGGTGGAGATCATACCCTTGACAGAGACAACAACTTATCCAGAAGCAAAGGACTGGGGAGGAAAAGGCATTTCTGTGTGGCTAGAACTGGGGACGGGGAGAGAGGGGAGAGGTAAGGCTATAGGTTTAGATGCCAAGACAACCAGCTTGGGGGTGGGGAGTGAGCATACATGTCCAGAATGAGTATGAGACTGTGTGAGGTGGCAGGGACCTGTGAGGGGCCCCCTCCTCACATTTTCTTCCTCGTCTTTGTCCCACATTTGGATGAGATTCAGATTTCTGCTGCACAAACCCAGCCCCCGAGGCTCTCCAGTCAATAAGCTCTTTAAGGAGCCAAAGAGAGGCAAGATCAATGCAGATGTCACTGATCTCACCTCGGCAGCCGATTAGTACCAGGGACTTGGTCGGCCCGGGAGCCCCTCACTAATGCACTGCGGAACTCAGATTCAACTGGGAGCCCCCAGCAGCCCTGGGGAGAGCTTCTGCCCTCCCCATATGCCGGGGGTGGGGTGGGGGGAGTAGAGGAGGAGGGACTCTGCCACCCAGATGAACACCGTAAATTCCCCAGGGAGACAGCTAGGATCGTGTCATTCCCTTGCTTAAAATCTTCCGATATCCCCCATCACCTGTTGGGTCTGTGCAGACTCCCTCATAGGACAAGTGTGCCCCCTGTGATCTGGACCCTGGCTGCCCCGTCCAGCCTTATCTCGTGCACATTCCCCTCACCCTCTGAACTCAGTCCAGAAAGACGGCCTCCCGTTCTTCCAACTCGCCATCAGTTGAATAGGGTCACTTAGGAGGCTCTTTTGTAACATGTCACATGACATTTAATTCTCAATATGGTTCTATGAGGCAGGAGGATGAGTAATAAATGTCTCATTTTGCCCACGGGGACCCTGAAACCCCCAAACTGTAAGTAAGTGGCCAGGCCTGGGTGCCAAAGCCGGAAACAGACAAACCAAGATCCCAGCCTATCGTCAATCTGAAATTGTTTTCCACAGAGCCTCCTCTGCGGCCATTAGCCCTGCAGCCATTGGCCCTGGTTCCTCTTCCTGTCTGCTTCTCTTCCCTTGGACAGCCTTCCCATAGCGGAGGGTGATGGCCTCCCGAGAGCCTTCCCACTGCGGAGGCGGTCCCAGTTCTCCCAACCTCATGGGGCAAGGCAGGGAGGCTGGCGTGGTGGCCCCAGGGAGCTCCAGACTGGAAATCAGAACTGGGGTCTAGGCCTGTCTCTGCCACCCACAAGTTTCATGGACCTGGACCTGTCTTCCTAGAGCCGTATGGGCAAAGTGGGGACTTTTCTGTCCCTGGACAGAAAATGGGGACAACAGCTTTCAAGGCAAGGTCAAGGAGATCACATATAACAAAGGGCTGTGCACAAGTATCATCAGACTTGGGGAAGAGGCTTGGCCCAGATGTTCACCCCACCTCTTCCTGAGCTTTGCCCTCTGACCTTGCCTTCCCATCTTCTCTGTCTCTACAGTATCATTAGCTCTTCTCACATTGCCCACAGGAGGCTGGCCAGAGCATGCCCCGTGGTAGTTTATTTAGACACACGAGCTTATTTAGCGAGAGATGGAGGTGGATCTGTGTCTGTTTCCCTGGGGGCTTTGAAGCAAGGGACCAGGGCCTCTGTCTGACTGAGATGGTGGGAACCCTGCCCTCCTGCTGCTGTGGGAAGTAGAGGAACTCCCCAAGAGCACCCATCCCACAGCTGGACATCGTGAGGCAGGAGAGCATAGTGAACCACCACCAAAATCTGATAGGTGTCCTTCAAGGTCACCTTGGAGGCAGGTGAGGCAGCCCAGGATCCTCAGGGACCCTTCCTACAGAAGCGTCCTGGATGGGGGCGGAGGGGCCGGGAGGGGAAATGAGTGGGAGGCGGAGCCAGAGGTGGGAGAGGGGTCAATTCTCCTTGCCCTCGTCCCGCGGGGGGATGGCAGCGGTAACGGAGCCCAGGCCACCTGAGGCCAAAGGCAGGACCAGGATTCTCAGGGCAGAATCACTAAAAGGGGAGAGGGCCCAGGTGAGCAGGCCCTCGGGCTCCACAGCCCCTCATCCCTTCAATCATATTTAGTACCCTAGAGTCATGAGCCCTTGGGCCCCGGGAGAGCAGACACCATTTGGCCTACAGTATTGTAGGATACTTCTGTTTTGATTCAAAATTACCCTTATGATGTCCAGGACTCCAAGGAAGTCAGGCTGCAACCTGCTTGAAGAAGAGGACATTTTCTGGATAATCTGGACCTCAAGAGTCTGCTTGGGCGGCCAGGAGGGCTCAAGGACCCAGGTGCCCAGGAGGCCAGGTGGTGCATCTGATCTTAGAATTTGTTTTCCTTTGAAATTTTCCCCAACTTTTGGAAGCTCAGATACACAGAATTTGAATAACTATTGAACATGATCTTTGTTACACTCTCCTCTGGTCCATGTTTGGCCCTATTTTTCGTTCATTCATTCATTCACATTAAAAATAAAATAAGTACCTTTAAAGCCACCACCCAGCATAAAAACTAAGACCTTAACAATGCTGGCTACCTAACTGTGTGGCTTCCTCCTGTCCATCCCATCTCCCTGCTTTCCTCACCCAAGGTAAGCATCATTGTGAGTCCTATATCTGTCATTGATCTGCTTTCTTTTTTAATATACTTATTTTATTGTACCTAAATGTTTTCCAGAATCTTTGCTGATCCCTCCTCCTCCCTCTCTTTAGGGAACTTGTAGCTGTAGAATACAGGAAATGAGATGTGAGTTGCTCCATTACTTTTAGCTGCAATAAAACTCTTACTGAAACCATCTTGGCCTCCAGTGTTCTCTGAAGCGGAGGGGACAGAGGAGGAGGGAAATTCTCCTTCCCGAGAGGTCACTCTTTAAGGAAGTGGCGTGAAAGATGTGCTTTGCTGGGCAGAGTTCAGAAGGGTGGGCTTTCAGAATAATCCCCCTCCTTCTAAGCCTTCACTTAATCCATCTTTGTCCACAGCCTGGAGCCTTGTATAACTGACATCCCACCCACCCCCCACTTCTGCCCAGCCCTGGCAGAGCTGCTCCCCAGAAGCCCTGGGTCTAGGTGGGCCAAGTTTATTCTCAGGGATTCCGGCCAACAAGTGCCCTCTGGAGGACGCAGAGCAGGCGCTGACCCAGGACGCTCCGGAGATGTGATTATTGGGAAGGGTGGGGGGCCCTTGTGTCGCACCCTGGACTGGCCGCAGCACCGCCCCCATCCCAAGCCGCCGCAGTGCCAGCGTGAGCCCCGGGCCCTCCGCAAGGCTATTCGTGGACTCCTGCCTTGCTGCTCCTCTGGCCAAGAACCAATTTTACCCATGAGTGAGTCTGCATAATCCTCTTCCGGTCCCTGTCCACTGCTTGGGGGGGCTTTGGTGAGGGCGGAGAGGGAAGCTGCCTGGGCTGGGAGGGCCTGAGCCACGTCTGGGCCGCAGAGGGAAGCAGCAGAGGGACAGGCCTGGCCTCGGCTGCCAGGACAGCTACCTCTGCTTCTGGAGATGTCCAAGCCCTCCCCGTGGCTGGTCCACCCACGACCCTCATTTCCTCCAAGAGGAAAGGGAGGCTCGAATGAGCCCAAAGGAGGCCACTTGGAGCCCACTATCAAGACGCCAGTCCGCATTCGATTTTTGGCCTAGGTGGATTTGGGGTGGAGTCCTGGTGGGGAGCGCCTGCCCTGAACCCCTTTCTCCTCTTTAAGGCTGAGGGGTGGGTGAGGGGAAGGACACTGCCCGAGCTGAGCTAGAGATGCAGCAGGGGGCCTGGGACAGCTGAAGACTCCCCAGACCAGGAGGATCTCTAGAGAGAGCCCCTACCCTAGACTTATGGATGCGGAAACTAAGGCCCACAGAGGGAACTCGCTCAGTTAGGGTTTCCCAAAACCAGTCCGGCAGGATAACTCCGGCCCATCACTCCTGTCACCCACTCTGAAGCCCTTGTACGTGTTCCCTCTTCAGGAGACGGGCCCCTCCCAGGAGTCTGTTATCCTGAGCACCTCATATCCCACTGGTTAAGCACAAGGCTGGCATCAATGGTTTGGGGTTCAGGGCGTGCCTCTGTGACCTCAAGCACATGACACAGCCTCTCCAAGCCTGTTTCTTTATCTGGAAAAAACCAGGGTGCTAATAATCAAGTTTATCCTCAAGGCTTGTTGTCAAGTTTGAAGGAGATGCTGTAAGCGCCCAGCACAGTGCCTAGAGCAGAGTAAACAGTCAAGAAACCCTAGTAGTTGTGATTGTCATTGAGCCAGCGGGCTCCTATTCATCCTTCACAGCCCTGCCCAGGCATCCCCTCCCCTGTGAAGACCTCCTTGCTAGCCCCACACACAGACCTGATAACTGACCCCTCACAGCTGTAGCTTCATCCTGGGCAAACATCATGTTCTCTTATGGCTGGTTTACACGTGGACCATCTGTGCAGGCATGTGAGCTCCCAAGGGGACGAGGTGTGTCTCACTCTCCCGTGGTGTCTTACGGGCTGTGATGGGGCCAGGGCTGAGCAAATAGCGTCTCAGTGATGGGCACGGGTTGGAGCTGTCTTGACTTGCTGGTACCCAACCTTGCAAGCCGGCTCTTCTTCTGTCCTTCTTTATGTCCCATCTTTGAGGCCATTCAGGTCTGCATTTGGTGGCCTTCGCTGCCCTCTCCTGACCGCAGAGGGCAGGACAGTGTCTCGGGTGAGGGTGAGGGTTGGACTGGGGCAGAGAGGCAGGAGCTGAGTGAGAGTTTTACTTCTCACTACACAGCCTTACATATCCCTCTGCATCTTGGGCTTCGACCCCTCTGAGCCCACAGGGAAACCAGCAGAAGACTGTGTGCCGGGTGGGCAGACCTCTAGAAGGGCTATCATCCCATGGGAAGCCAGCCCTGCACGGTGCACAGAGGTCCCACCCCGAAGCTGGTAACAGCCCGGTTCACCCTGGAGCTCACTTCTCCAGCAGAAGCCTCTAAGGGCGAGCCCTGGGCCACCCGGCTTTACACACACAGGTACCAGGCTCACTCATTTGCTCACAGCTATCTCCTGCCTTCCGGGAGTGTGACAGATTGAAAGAAGCTGGTTCCAGCTAAGAGAGTCCTATAATTATCAACTGCAGATTATTTTAATTAAAATGCTTTGCATCCTCAGCTCTTAATTTCTAAAATGATTATAAATGTTATTAATAAAAAAAAATCCTTGAAGTGTGATCCATAAATCTCAGCCTGGGCTGAGATGACAGGGCGAGCCGAGCCGGTACAGCAGAGGAGGCCCTGCCCAGGGCTGAAACCGCAGAGGGTAGAGAAGCAGGAAGGGAGAAGGGAGGTGAGGCGGGCTGGAGGAAAGGGAATGGAGGGAGGACAACCCCCTATGCATTCTTCCCGCTTCACCTCTGGATCCTTAAGCATTTGGGACTAAGAAAGCAGACCAGCTCTGGGTTTGGAACTTGAGTCTGCTGTTTGCTGTATGACTCTGGGCAAGTCAGGTGACCTCTCTAAGCTTCAGTTTTCTCCTCTAATGATGTTTTCATCTTCCAAGTTTCTCATGTAAAGAATGGAAATGACTGCCGTCTGGTAGGGTTATTCTGAGGCATGTTGACGAAGTGTGTAAAGCGCTTGTCACACTGTAGCAATTTTTGGTTAGCTCTGGCCGGATCCTCAGGAGGGTTCCTAGGAGTCTTCTGTTGCTTCATAGCTCCATTCTCTGGCGGTCCTAGGCTCATGATAGGTGGACCCCTCACACTCCAGGAGGGGACCTCCTCAGGGGTGTGATTACTGCCAGCCCGAGTCTGGCACCAAGGGAAGGCCCTTCAGCTTTCACTGGTCTCGCATCACGGAAGGGCAGGGCAGAAGGAGAGGAGACCAGCCCTTTCACCTGACAGGCAAGGAAATGGGTTGGAGGCCCAGAGAGGGGAATGTCTAGCCCAAGGTCGCTCAGCAAATTTCTGGAAGGTTGTTTTACCCATTTTAGCAGATGGCCAAAGCCTGACTTTTTAATTTATTTTAAGCCTTTCTAATGGCTGAGAACAGATCCCCTGAACCAGGAGATGATGCTGACGATAACATTGACGAGGTAGACGGGGGAAGGGGTTGGCAGTGGGAGATGGAGAGGGCGAGGACCGGCCTGGGGTCACGACAGCTAGCTGCCACGTGCGCCCTTGGGCCCATCCCTTCTCTCCCTGGACCTTAGTTCTCTCCTCGGTAAAACCGGGATGATAATCACTGCCTCGCTGACCTCCCAGGCTGGTGGTGAGGATCAGATGAGATGATGAATCTGAAAGTGCTTTGTAAGCTGCAAAGCGTGAAGCAAATGTAGGAAATTATTGATATTAATATTAATGAACTTACTCACAGTTGGCTACTGGCCACAGACAAGATGGAACGCTGCGAGTCTGGCGGAAGACGAACTTTTCCAAGCCTCTGTTGGGTTTGCAGAGGGGACAGGGATGGAGATTTTTCTCCGTGGTCATTTCCCAGATTCTTATAGATGGAATTACTTAAGGGAAAACCCCTCAAGATTTTCAGCCAAGGGAGCTGGTAGTGCGCCCACGGCACTGGGGGACAGTGTGGGAGGGACTCCCCTTCCCTGGTTGGCACAGCTATAGAGGTTGCTGGCTTTGTCGTTCAAGGCTGATCTCTTCTTGGGGCTCGGGAGGCCCAGGGCTGAGGACCGGGCCCCTTCTGTGGACCCCACTAAAGGCAAAAGGGCTCCTTTCCCTATTTGGTTCCCCTCTTCCATCCTCAGAAGACTAACCCATCCCTCCTTGGGAAAACCACCAGGTCAAAGAGATGAGGATGGAGTCAGGCTCCTGCATCCTCTTTTTAGCACATTCATCCTCCTCCCTCTCCCCCCACACTCACACGGGAGTCTTGCTTCTATGCATGAAGCTGTGCACAGTGTTGATCTGTGTCCTGGGCTAATCCTCCATTCATTCATTCATTCACTCATGTGTTCTGTAAAGGTTTGTTCAAAGTCTGAGATGTGCCAGGCACTG